AATAATATTAGTTCACAATCTTCTGGTGTCGAACAAATATATTTCGCCCAAATATGTGAAAACATAGACAAAACTGGAAATGTCTTGCATGGAAAATATTCATATCCTGCTTTAATATACTTTTTTTCCAAAATAAACATTAGCTGGTCAAAAAAATATTCGAAGCAGTAGTTTTGATAATCGTTTTAATATGCTGCAGTAATCGCGCAAGTGTTTTGATCAAGTATAAGTTTATCGCCAAAAATCTTGTGCAGTCTCCTCAACATATTAAACACATTCATTTAATAGTTAGAAATTCGTTGATATTGCAGAAAAAAGTTGTCCCCTTATACATACATCGACTGAACGGATCAAGCAACAATACTGCATCGACAGTTTTATGTAAAAACTCTTCATAGTTAAAGATATATTTATATGCTCATATCAGATATGTGTTCTTCTTTAACTACTGTCTTTCCGTAGATTGAAATGGCTTCTATGAATAATAATATTAAATTGGTCAACTACTCGGTTCGTAAGAACAATGTTGTCGTCGATACAAACCAGCAGCCGAGATCAATTTCAAAAGCGCAAAATGCAAGAAACGTTCAGAACAATACCATCGCTCGAATAAAAAATTACACGATTCGGCAGAATATGTATGACTTTCTCTTCTGGTGTCAAATATTATTGTTGTTGCTCTTTTCCAGGAAATTTTGTTGGTGGGTAATGTTGGGTTTCATACATAAACCTATCTTTGTACTGCCTACGATTACAAGTATAGTTATGATTATCGGTATAGTGATAGTTGGTTTAACTGCGCCAAAAGTACCAAGTATGTCCTTGTTGTTTTACATTCTTCGTATTCAATACGATAAAAATCCATAGTTAATTCGGTTCTATTTTACGAGTATTGTGAGTTTGGGTTAAAAAACCTCAAATTGTGATAATATTTTGATATCGAGATTCTTGAAGCAAACCATCCAGCAAGGACGGAATTATAAGCAGTGCAACTGCTTCACTTTTTCATTTCAAATCAGTACTAACGAACGCGAACCAACCAAAGTGATCATCACTAGTAGATCTGATACTTTTCCATAAGTTGAACCTATTGTGACTAGAAAATGACGAAAAAGGTACAATTGCTTACAAGGAAACCTCATCAACTGTTTCCCAATTCGAGCTCGTATTTTACTCATGAGGGTAGGTCTCATAGAATAGAGAAAAATTCCTAAAGAATTAACTCCACTGTTGCTTTGTTTCTGAGAGACAGGCATAACAAATTTCTCAAAAAAAGAGATGATTGTGTTTTCTAAAAAAATTGTTTTTCCTATCACAATAAACGAACATTTTCAAAAAGTTGATTTATTACCAACTCAACTTAGGTATGGTCACTTGTTGAAGAAAGAGCAACTTTATCATATTTAGTGTCCTACAGATGAAGGAGAGAAATTCATTGATTCATCCCTTCTATTATTTTTGGTAGTATTTTTTTCACATCTTGGAACGATAACAACAATTTATTCAGAATTTCTTTTTTTCTATCTCATCTATGTGTTCTTTTGGCATCATAGATATGTGAAACAATAAGAAAAAATACAAGTCATTTTCTCATAGGACGTAGCGAAGGTAAACATATTTTCTCTCTGAAACACATCTTGTTTACATTTTCTAACTATACGTTGTCCGAAGATAGGAGCAAGCAGATAATCATAAATAGAGATCTATAGGAAGGAGGCTGTCAGATCTGGTCATCATATATACAGTCGAGGAAAATTGGAATTGCACCTTTTCATTTTTTCTTGTTTTTTTATTACTATACATTTTTATCTATTAACCTACTATATAAAGGAAGAAAGCTCAGAATCCGCTGCATCTTTTGATATATTTACTTTGAACATCAAATGTAGTTAAACGTATAAATAGTATATTAGAAGAAAAAGGACTTTTTTATTTCCATGGTATCCATAGTGTTGTAACATTTTTTATTTCGCATATATCTTGACCTAGGTAAATGCTAAAACCTTGAATTTTGTTTTTCGAAAGATGCGCCGTGAAAAGCTCTACAAAATTTGTATAGAGTAAATCCTATAGCGAATTGGAAAAGTTCTGAAAATATTTTCTATATGACGTTAATTGACGCTGCCACCCACAAGTTGTTCATTTTGAGTATAAGAAAAACCGTCAGAACAGATAAAATGAAATTCGATCATATAGGTTTTGTAAAGCTCTTTACGGCACATCTTTTGAAAAAAAATTCAAGGTTTTACCATTTACCTAAGCCGAGATATATATATACGAGATAAAAAAATGTTACAACATTATGGACACCTAGTTTTGACAATAAAAAAAAAGTTCTCGTTCTTCTAATACACTTTTTATATTTTAAACTGCATTTGGTGTTCAATGTAAATATACTAAAATATGCAGCGTGTTCTGGGCTTTCTCCTTATATATAGTAGGTTGAGAGATAAAAATGAATAGTAATAAGAAACAAAAAAAATCAAAGGGTATAATTTCAATTTTTCTCGACTGTATATACATATATTGATCTAATTATATCTTCTTTAGTTTTAATATCATGCCTGAATCCGTATACATCCTCTTTTCTAGTATATTGAGCTACATTCGTTTTCTTTCTATTTATTCCTTTATCGATCATGTATGTTCTCTCTTGTGTGCTCTAGTGAGTTCTCATCTCTTTATTAAATTCTAGTGAATGCTTTTCCTTTCCACTATTTGAAATAATAAGACATTGCATAAATATGATCAGATAAAACTTTTCTCTTATTAATAACTGGTTAGTGGTCGACTACCTTCACATAGTGAAGAAATAGTGAGTATATTTCTATTGGATCATCATTCAAATATCTCGACAATAAAAAGTGAGAAATCCTCAGAACGTTGTAAGAGTATTATGAAACCTGAAAGCAGATGAATTATCCAGTGATTCATCATCTTCAAGCAGTTCTAGAGTGCGTGTGTGAATGTTAATGTTGCTATCCTCTATACCAAAACATTCCCAGTGCGAACGACAGCTGTTCGCACCTACGTCCTAGATTTTTAACCAGTCACAAAATACGCCTGGTTCAAAAGAGGTTTTTTAAAATATCATAGGTGTGGGTTTCATATTTCAAACAGATAAATGTTATGAAAAATAGCTCTATCGACGAACTGATGATACATTGTTCTTTGTTCAATAAATCTGTGCTTCACTCTGTTTTTTTACTATCATGACCATTAGACAAATTCATCATTTCCTTAATCTTTTATTTCATTTTCATTTTCTATATCATCTTTATTTTCTTACTAAATGAAAATATAGCTAACATTCTTCTGTTTTTATACAACAAGTAACAAGGAATAGGATGAGTTTGTCAAAGAATTAGTTCCTAAAAATGTTTCTTTATTGAGATAAGTTATGACTCCTGCCAATGAGCAACACATGAATTCAAATGGAATGATTAGTTGATGAAGTTCATTCATTAGTGTTTTCTTTCTGAATTATACCTGTCATACTGATATTTTTCTATAGATCAGTGTACACTAATAAGTCAAATGATGGTATTTTGACCTGATACTTTGCTCTCATACTTGTTTCATAGTTATTAAAATATCATAAAGTTTCTAGCAAACACATGCATGTCTCTTGTAGGATAACAATGAAAAATATTCATGATGTAATTAGAGAATTGTTGCAATGCAGTGCTATTGGCATTTTTCTGATTTCGAAATGATTCGAAATTTTTGTCATTATAGTATATTTGTGACTGATAACATGTCATCAAAGAATCTGTAAGATAGATATGATAGTAGTTTTGATCATGTAGTAAGAGCCAGTCCGTAATCCTTATGTAAATCATATTAGTTGCAATGCCTGTTGTTTCTCAGTCCCTATTCAGTGAGATTCAAATAAAAAGCATTAGTACCCATCCAGATTTGGCTGTAATCATCCCACAATATCGATAAGAATATGATCAGAATCATATGAATCTGATACAATCCACTAGCGACTGTTGAATCAGAATAACGGAGTCATCTTTATTTCTTTGTTCTTCTATTACCTAGTTGCAAAATGTCAACTCAACTTCAAACCAATGACCCCAAATCCAGTTGATTATAAGTCTGGTCCACGATCTGTCGACATCGGGGACTTCAACAACGATACCTGGCTAGATATTGCTGTTGCCAATTATGCTGCTGATCATATAGCTATATATTTTGGATATGGCAATAGGACTGCAGCAAGACCAATCACATATTCGACCGGTTCCGGCTCTGCTCCATACATGGTCGCCGTTAATGATTTTAACAACGATGATCGACTAGATATTGCAGTCGCAAACTTTGGCACAAACAACATCGGTATACTTCTTGGATCCAAAAATGGATCTTTTGCAAGCCGAAAAACCTTTTCAACTGCCTCCTCTCGTCCCATTTGGATCCACGTAACTGACCTCAACAATGACGCAGCACTAGATATTATTACCGCTAATTACGGCACACATAGTGTAAGCATATTTTATGGACATGGAAATGGAAATGGAAGCTTTTCCAAACCAAGCACGTACTCAACGGGCTATGATTCTTTCCCGTTTGCGGTTGTCAGTGGTGATTTTAACAACGACCAACAGCTAGATCTTGCTGTCGCCAATTATGGCACAAACAATGTTGGTATACTCTTTGGAAATGCTAACGACACTTTCACAAATCAAAGCACGCTTTCAACTGGCCCTAATTCCCATCCATACTCGATTGCTGTGGGTTATTTAAACGATGACACTATGCTAGATATCGCGGTCACCAACAATGGAAATAACAGCGTCGGTGTTTTTCTGGGTCACGGCAACGGAACTTTTATGAGCCAAGCGACATATTCCCTGAACGCTACTTCTCCATATTCTATTGGTATTGGTGACTTCAACAAGGACAACCGGATGGATTTGGTCGTCACCAATAATGGCACTGACAATATTGCTGTGCTTCTCGGATATGGCAACGGCACCTTTGTAAACCCAAAAATGTATTCCACTGGATCTTCTTCTTCGATCTCCGTTGCCATAGGTGATTTCAATGGAGATGATCGTTTAGATATTTTCGTCATCAATAATGACACGAACAGTATAGATATTCTGCTTGGCTATGACGAGGGCTTTCCAATTCAAGCACAATATGCAACTAGCACTTTGCCGAATTTTGTAACTGTCGGCGACTTTAATAACGACACCGTATTGGACATTGCCGTCACCAGTGATAATGAAAACACTGTAAGTGTACTTCTCGGATATAGTAATGGCTCTTTTGCAACACAAGTGAAATATTCCACTGGCACTAAACCATATTATGTAGCTGTTGGTGACTTTAATAACGACACTCGACTGGATATCATTGTCACTAATTATGGGAGCCATAATGTAAGTGTATTTCTCGGATATAGTAATGGTTCTTTTGCGAATCAAACGACATATTCGACCGGTGCTTATCCGTATGGTTTAGCTGTTAGTGACTTTAATAACGACACACGACTGGACATTGTCGTCGCCAATCGTGGTAGCAATACTGTAAGCATACTTCTCGGTTATGGCAATGGCTCTTTTGCAAATCAAGCGACATATTCAGCTGGCATTACTCCAGAGAATGTAGCTGTTGGTGATTTTAATAACGATACACGCCAGGACATCGTCGTTACTAATGTTGATAACAACACTATAAGTGTACTTCTAGGATATGGCAACAGCTCTTTTGCAAATCGAGTAGCATATTCAACTGGCGCTTATCCAGGCCCTGTAGTTGTGGCTGATTTTAACAATGATACCTATTTAGATATCGCCGTCACTAATTATTGGGACAACACTATAAGTGTACTTCTCGGATATGGTGATGGCTCTTTTGCAATGCAAAAGACATATTTAACTGGCGACAAACCAGCTGGTTTAGCTGTTGGCGATTTCAATAATGACACCCGATTAGATATCGTCGTAAGTAATGCTGGAAATAATACCATAGGTGTACTTCTCGGATATGGTAATGGTTCTTTTGCAAGTCAAAAGACATATTCAACCGGTGCTTATCCATTCGCTTTAGCTGTTAATGATTTTTACAATGATAATCGACCAGATATCGTTGTCACTAATTCTTTTGAAAACACTGTTAGTATTCTGCTCCGTTATGACAGAGGAGCTATGAAAAACGAAATTACATTTGCGCCCAGTGCTGGTGCTCATTTGACATGCGCTGCCATTTCGGATTTCAATAGTGATGGTCTATTGGATATCGTCGTTGCTAATTATGGTAGTAATAATCTAGGTGTCATTCTCGGATATGAAAACGGCACATTTGGAAACGAAATGATATTCTCAACGGGATTAGAATCTCATCCTTACTTAATTGCAATTAATGACTTCAATAAAGATGGTCAAGTGGATATTGCAGTGGTCAATCGTGGTAATAAAAGTCTTAGTACATTTCTGGGAAATGGGAACGGAACATTTGAAAGTCAAGCAAATTATAGCACTGGTTTTGATTTTGCTCCATTGGCTGTTGATGTTGGTGATTTCAATAGTGACGGGCGTTCAGAAATTGTTGTTACATATGATGATACTGATAATTTGGATGTGTTTGTTATATATGACATCGGAGATTTTTCTCATCGAACGACATATTCAACTGATCCTATCCCAAACTGTGTAGCTTTTGGTGATTTTAATAACGACACTCGACTGGATTTCGTTGTCACTACTGTGTATTACAATAATGTAGCTGTATATCTTGGATATGGTAATGGCTCTTTTGAAAACCAAATGACATATTTAGTTGGAAATCTCCCATTCTCTGTGGCTGTTGGTGATTTTAACAACGATGCCCGATCAGATATTGTTGTCGCTAATCAGAATGACAACACTGTAAGTGTACTTCTTGGATATGGCAATGGCTCTTTTGCAAGACAACAAACATTTTCAGCTGGCTTTAAACCATATTCTGTAGCGATTGGTGATTTTGATAACGACAGCCGACTAGATACCGTCGTCGCTAATATTGATAGCAATTCTGTAACTCTACTTCTAGGATATGGCAATGGCTCTTTTGCAAGTCAAACGAATTATTCAACTGGCTTTCGGTCATTGTCTGTAGCTGCTGGTGAATTTAATCATGACGCCCGACTGGATATCGTAGTCGCTAATTCTGATGGCAAGTCTATAAGTGTACTCCTAGGATATGGCAATGGCTCTTTTGCAAGACAAGTGAAATACTCCACTGGCACTGTACCAATATGTGTAGCTGTCGGTGATGTTAACAACGACAGCCGACTGGATATCGTCGTCGCTAATCGTGATTAGATATGGCACTTTAACTTTAACTTTACTTTGATAAAGTGGTTAAAGTTTAAAGTCTGACTTTAACTTTAAGAGTTAAAGTTAAAGTGTTTTACTTTAATACTTTAACTTTAACTTTCAAAGTTAAAGTAGGTATCTAAAGGATGTTCTGCATGATTATTCTTGATTAGTCCCTTAAAATTATCTTCATATATGTGCTAAAGAAATTATTTATACCAAAAATAGAGGAAGATCAGATTAAACGAAAGTAAAATTACAGTAGTTCGAAACAATAAAAAGATAGTCTATGTAACTTTGTAGACTCTTTCTAGAGATAGTCCTTGTCGCTTTTTACAACTTGTCAGAAAGTAATATCTTTGACTTTATGAGATTTCTCTATAAATAATTCCTATAAACCTAGAAACGTTGTAGAGATCGTCCTGGATAGCTGCCATAAAAGGGATGATGATCGTATTGGATGAACCCTAAAAAGTATTGAGCAGCAGCCCGAGTCCTTCATAAAAAGTTATAAGAATCATCTCTACAGAGACTTTATGTAACAACAAAAGTGTGGCGTCTAACAATTGCCTCTATTTTAAATCAATCGCTCTTTTTATACATCGTCTCTCCCCTAGGGAAGGAGAATATCTATCGAGAGAGCAGCAAACAGATACATCAGTGTATACATATACTCATACAGGGAAAAGCACATAAAGAGAAGATAGATGAGAGTAGGGGTGAGAATTTATTGTTATTGTTATAAATAAAAGATAAATAACAAATAACTTGTTTTCTGGAAAAAGTTTTGTCTCACCTTGTTGTATATCTGAATTGCACCCGTTATTTATGCTTATGCTTTAGAACGAATTTCTAACTTCAATAGTGCTGACTCATATGATATAATCACGGTAGACAGCGAGCTGAGTTTTCAGAAAAAAAAAGTTATTTGTTATTTATCTGTTGTTTATAACAAATAACTATAGAAAAAAGTTATTGTTATTTGTAACAATAACATTTTTTGTTATTGTTATTTATAACAACAAGATAACAATAACTTCTCACCAGTGGCGGAGCCAGGGGGGGTGCAAGAGTTGGCTGAGCCCACCCTACGTATTTTTGAGCCCCTCCTAGCGAGAGTTTAGAAAAATCCATTTCTTTATACAAAAATGTATCAGTGTTTGCTATTTCACGTTTTAACATATAAACCTAAGTTTGTAGAATCGATATGCCTGTGAATAAAATACAATAAAATACAATACATCTGGGTACTAGTTTCAAGGAGATTTTATATGTTACGAGCAGCTTCTTTCAGGTATATTCGAGACTGCATTAGTTCGCTTTTATCAGGATACAGCGATCTGTGCTATTGTGAGGTCAGAATGAAAATTGATTACGTTGTAGTATGGTTGCATTGATCATTTTATGAATATTTAGATCTTTCCTTATTTATTTAGTATCTTGAATAAATAATTATTTACAATTGTATAGATATACAGAGTGGCCCAAAAGTAAGGAAACATAAAGAGTGTCCCATAATAACTGATGATAAATTTTTAATGGTATTTTTTATACTTTTTATTAATGTAGAGACCTGAAACTTTCAGAAATAAAAGGTTTTGATTAGATATGTATGTGATAAAAAATTCAGGTCTCTACATTAATAAAAAGTATGAAAAATACCATTAAAAATTTATCATCAGTTATTATGGGACACTCTTTATGCTTCCTTACTTTTGGACCACCCTGTATAATATACAAATGTATAAAATATAATATTCAAGATTATGAAATAAAATATATAAATATAAATATAAAGGACGTCACATAAGTTTCGATCTCCTTCAAGTAATAGCCCTTTCTTATATGATTTTCCTGTAGAAAAGGCTAATATTTACAGCATTTATACTAGGCATCTAGATCTACTCTATGGTAGAATTTCAGCTTTCTATCTCTTATAGTCATAGAGCTACAAGTAACTTAAAATTTATTGGAATATTTTTAGAAAAAAAGGGTGGGGGTGGGCTAGAATGAGTGACCGAGTTTTGTATTTCATTTTCTTATCATCTAATGAGTCGCATTCAAAAACAAAATATACCACAAGATGAAGCATGAAAAGCTATATAACCTACATAGTAAAGCTTATTTTAATTGTGTACCTTTTGTTTTCAAAAAAAGCAAAACTCTGTGAGATCGATTTTCAATGATGCTCAAAGATCATGTTTTTTCTACCTGAACAAATTCCTTTTTCCTTTTTCCTTATTTCATATTTTTATTGCCTTAATGCTTTTTCTTAAAAAAAAACAGAATATACCACAAGATACAGCGTGAAAAGCTCTGCAATCTACATAGTAAAACTTATCTTAACAGTGTATCTTTCATTTTCAAAAAATGCGCGTCTATTTTCCGTAGCATCGAAAATTGGTCTCACATTTTTTTAAAACAAAAAGTACACAATTAAGAGAAGCTTTAGAATGTAGCGTATAGAGCTTTTCACACTGCATCCTGTGGCATATTCTGTTTTTTAATACAACTCATTAGATGATAAGAAAATGAAGTACAAAACGCAGTCATTTATTCTGGCCCATCCGTTTACTATTTCAAAAAACCCCTATCAATTTTAAGTTACTTGTACCTCTATCATTATAAGAGATAGAAAGTTGAAATTCTAGCGTAGAGTAGATCTAGGTGTCTTGTATATATGCTGTAAATATTAGCCTTTTCTACCGAAAAAACATATCACAAAGGGCTATTACTTGAAGGGGATCAAAACTTATGTGACACCCTTTATAACAATATATATTGTCAATGTGACTCGAATGTAATAAATTCTTCAGAGTTCAAAATTTTGTTCTAATGAGGAAATAAACTTCTGGTTGAACTTTCTTCTTTTTATTTTTCTTCTTTCTAAAATTAGTGTGCTGGAAGAATAGAAAATTATTGGATCTCAAAGAGTTATATTCTGAATTAATTCCATTCGTACGAGCTTTTCCAGATGTTGTTTTAATGATTCAAGGGCCGAAACACTATCAGCGACGAACGTTTAAGTGACTTTTGTGTACTATCAATAGAGCGAGATTTCAAAATTGATTTTGACAGTGTAGTTGAAGAGTTTTCGTCCAACCCTAGAGAAAGTACTGAGTTCAGGGTGCCCATGTACTGAGAAAGCCCTAGCAGGATACCCAATATGGGTACATCAAAAATTCTCAGTAATTATACTGATGTAGGTACTGCGTGTGGTTCCCATAAAAGTACGCTCACTGAACAAGTACTTGTATGGGTACTTGCATCTGTAATTTGACTGAGGAAAGGTATACAGGGTACCCTATATTTGTCGCGTTCTGTGTAGCGACTATTCATTCACCGTTTTCTTTTTCACGCACGGCTTCATATAAACAACTGGGTAAGACATAAGAAATTAATCTATTTTCTTACTAATTTTTTCTAGATTATTTCTTGACTATTTTTTAGTCGAGAACATGCCGATCTTGATCGTAGATCAAGAGCAGACTACTCCGAAGTGGTCTGATGGATACCTGACCAACTCAAGTCGGGTCAGATCCCGGCAGTGTACCTGCTAATTTTTTGGAATTGAAAAAACTAAATTGAATAAAATCGAAAAAAAATGTAGTGAATTGCTTCGAGAGAAACAAAAAATAAAAAAAGTTAAAGTTCAGGTTCGATCCTGAACATACTGAAATTTTTGTAGCAGGGTACCTAGAAATACTATACAATGGTACCCAATTGAGTATCTGATCAGTACCTTCATGTACCCAGTTACTACACATTTTGTAGCAGGGCACTTGTCAAAGTACCACTTAGGTACCTGAAAGTACTTTCAAGTACTTTGGTATCCAAAAGTTTCTGTGATATACTGGTAACAGGGTACTTTCTCGGGTACTCTTAACTCAGTACATTCTCTAGGGAATCATAAAAACAGAAGAATTATGTTAAAATAAAGCATTGAACATTTTTGTTTTACTTGCTCGTTCAGCGTATATTCTGAGAAAAGTATCACTAAAAATAACCAATCACTCTATATTGAAATAATGCAAAAAATTCAAATTCCTAATACGAGTCAAAAATATTTTGACGGGCTCAGCTCCCCCTAGTCCAAAATCCTGGCTCCGCCACTGATGTAAAGTATTGATATATTTTTTGTATGAAAATTTTATAGAGTGAAAAAAAACAACATTATTTTGCTTGCATATGAGTGTGCTTTTTGTATGATAATAAGAAAAACAAAAATTTCTCGATAAAGATTGATTTGAAAATAAAATAAAAATAATGATAAAAGATGTGTATTTTCTTAAAGACTCACACAGGAGATGTTCTCATTTAGCCTCTAGCTACAGCGTGAATCAAGGCCATTATGAATAAGAGTCTTTTATATATACATATATATGACTTGTATCAATGAAATAAACAGGACTTATTATTTTGGTTATCGCCAACCTTTTATTTCTCGCTCATTTTTTGGAAAGTACTCTTTATTTACTTCTCTATGACATGCAGTGGCGTAGCCAGAGATAAGACAATTGCTCAATGATTGAAAAGTTATTCCCCATAGTTTTTTTTAATGATAAGAATTGCCCAATTCTGAAGAATCTTAATAGAATAAACGTCGATTTTGTGACGACAATAAGTTGTAAAAAAGCTATAGTTCAATTGATTTCTAACAACTCATTTCTGCTCCGTCCTCAAATTAATTTAGCTGGAAAATGGCCCATGAGTCAAAAATTCCTCATTACGCCGCTGATGACATGTGTACTTAGCTTCATTTCAGTACATACTTCGAAATCATAGCGCAACTCTTACGAGGTAATATTACCAACTGCCACATCGCTTTTAAGTCGGGACTATGCACATCGTATAAGCTCTAATGATTTATGATCTCTATGACGTTTCTAGGTCTATAGGAATTATTCATAGAGAAATCTCATAAAGTCAAAAATATTACTTTCTGATAAGTCGCAAAAAATGACAAGGACTATCTCTAGAAAGACCCTAGAAGGTTACATAGATTA